TTGTTTAGAAAAAGCCGTATATCCTATGTCTAAAAAATATCCATGAGTGTCTTGAAAAGCTGCCCCCTTCTTTTTTTTCTGAATCAAATGAATACCTACAGTTGTTGTTCATTACTGGAAAGGTAAATGAGTGTCGGATGTGTGATCATTCCTAAGGTTTTGCAAGTTTTTTTTTATATTTAACAAGGCATGTCTGTGGCGCTACTCATACGGTTCAAAAGTTTTCATCCTATTGAAGAGCATAATCTTTATAGGGATCACATGTGTTGTGCACTGTTCGGATGGATGGGATCGTACGGCGCAGACGGTGTCGTTGGCGCAGTTGATTCTTGATCCGTTCTACCGTACTATCCATGGCTTCCAGGTATACTTTCCGTCACGACTATGTTTTCCATGGCTTTTATTGGTGCAACCATTTGCTTTGTAGGTACTAATAGAAAAGGATTGGCTAGGATTTGGTCACAAATTTGATGATAGGTGTGGACATATCGGGGCGCTGAATGACGAAGCAGCCAAAGAAGTTTGTTCTAGAAATTTACTACGCTTTTGACCGTTTCGCTGAATTCCCGCATTAAGGTTTCGCCGGTGTTCACTCAATTTCTGGATTGCGTCCATTTTATAGCTGAGCAGAAGCCCTTGGCATTTCAGGTTAGTTCTTTTCAGTTGGATTACAAAACCTTTTTACTAGGCATGGATAGATCACTTTTCTAATTCTTCCAGTTCAACGAACGCTTTCTCATAGAAATCCATGAGCATGCCTATTCCTGTCAGTTTGGGACGTTCATCGGGAACTGCGAGAAAGATCGAAAGGTTTGTAAACATTCGGCGAAATTTTGGTCTTGCTCCGAAATATACAGTCGTCATCCGGGCACCTGATTAGCCGGCCAAAGGGTCGCTACGCGGCTGCGGCGCATCACAACTGCGGCGATCGGCTGTTTCCAGCCTGCTTTACCCCCTAATTTTCACTGTTTTTGGCTGCTTTTCTCGCATAGTTGTTCCTTGTCTTTACAAGATAAATTATGATTGAAGTTTCTCTGATATTTGCGAACAGTTTAACCAAACAAATACCTGGAAAAAAGAACGCAAAAACACTTCATTTCAAAATCATGTAAAGGATCTACGTCCTAATGCACTCCATAAAGGTAAGAACACAAGTTATCTTGGAAAAATAGAAAATACAGTGAAAACTAAGGAGGAAACGGCTGAGCCAGGCTGGAACGAGTTGATCGCCACGGTCGTACGAGCAGCAGCCGCGTCGCGACACTTTGGTCGCCTAATCAACTTGCCGGATGACGACTGTATCAGGTTGGCCTAGAAAACTGAGAAACGTTTTCGAAATTGAAGTTGCGCATGCCGACATTAGGTGAAGCTCATCGACCTTTGTTGTGTGCATTATCTAGCCAGCGTTCACCCAGCTTATGGGTGCTGTCCCTCCTGATGCAATTTGGCGCAAGGCATAGAAATATAAAAGCATGAAGAACCTCAGTCAGAACCGCTTGTGACGGGCGCGCTTCAGTAACACCCTTTCCCTTTAATATTCGAATTTGGATGGTTACGCGGGAGAACTCGTCTCTCGCGAAGTTGCTCGCTACGCCGGCCAATGCAACAAATTACGATTCTCTTGCCATGTACCCGGTTCGACGAGCTTGCTTCAACATCACAGAGTTCGCAGGAGTCAGACTTGTAAACCGGAAAGTGCGAAATGTCCCCCCCCCCCCCCCGTCGGCGAGCTGCGCCGTATATTTATTGCACATACTGAGGTTGTCTAGAATCGAACGGAGAAAATGCGTATTCTGATGAAAGCTGATTTGTATGACCAACCTGATCCAAACCAACTTCCTCATCATGACCACAAAAAAACACACAAAACACACCAATATTAGTGCACTTATTTACATTACTATCTATGTATATAACATTCGGATAGCAGGGGGGAAAAATCGCGAGATAATTGACGAAAAAGCGATGTATTCTTGCCGCCTCGAATGTGTTAAGAATCAGTCCAACGGTATCTCACTAGTCTTCGCTTTTACTATATTGTCTTCTCCTATTTTTTGTGGCTATTTCAGGACTTGAACGTAAGGAAACGAACGAAATCTTTGTGGACATTCATGGATCAGCGTCTGGACGACTATCTCAACCCGTTTTATGAGGTTTGTTCGCTTACATCTGGTACCAAGGAGTTATAGAATAATAAATAGTTTTCTTGGGAACTGTGAAGTGACAGTCAGGGCACATCTTTGGTTGAGGAATTCGGTCAAGTCCGTGCACCCCCTCCCGTCCTCCCCTAGGGGTGGCTTGATACGACCCCCCCCCTAGTCCCCCTTATCGAGCGGAGAAGCAAAAGGGAGGGGGAGGGGGGGGGGGCGGCGCGGGGTATATAGCACAAGTGAAGAAAACCGCGAAAAAAGGCGAGGAAAACACGATTTTCTCCCTTCCACATCCTGGCTGCCACTTCGTAGATTTTCCCAACTTCCTACCAGTTTTCCGGGAGTTCCTTAGTTTTCAAAAATTTTGCTCTCGAGCAGGGGGGGTATAGCACATAACGGGAAAAACCACGAGAAGTGAACTATATTTTTAGAACATCAGAAGGCAAAAACAATTCCCCTCTCCTTATAGGGTCCCTGAAACAAGAGAAATCGACTATCAAGAAAATTTTTCCTCAGACCAAATACGACCCCTCCCCCTAGCGACCAAAGTCGACCCACCTCCCCCGTTGGGGAACCCCAACGGGGAAGGTGGGTCGACTTTGGTCGCTAGGGGGAGCTGCTGTATAGTCCATGTTTGAAAATCCGTGGAAGGTTGACTTCTAATAGCATCGTGGCTCGCTTTCAAAAAAGGGCTTTCAGTGGTGGTATTGCGAACCCATGTTTTATTACAGCTTCTTTCTGGTATTTACTTCTGAAATTCAGCCAACGACTTTCGGTGTGCTGACTGACATAGTGACTCGTGCCTTCATGTTCCGTGTATGGCATGCGCTATACAATCGCTTCGATGCAGGAATTCTCCCTCGTGAGAGTAACGTTGATATGGTAATGGCTTCAATGGAACATGTCGGAGTGCTGGAGAGTCACATTGCTGCTTTACGAAATGTAGGTTCTCTTCACTTACGGCAAGTTTTTTTAGGTGCTCAAGACGGTTTTTTCCAAACATGGTAATGAACCAAAGCATTCCTTCGAATTTTGGACGGCATTTTCGTTTTAAAGACACATGGTACGCTCAAACACATTGAGGGTGTATGAGACTATCAGCCCCCAGCTGTCGATGTGTCGTGGTCCCCCGCCCAAAACTGCACGGGGTCAGAGTACGGGGCCGTGGGAAAGTCGTAATTCCTTGCTACACCGCCCTCACGTTTTGCTAACACGTTTATACTTTGCGGTCAGCGTAGCGTAGCGTAGC